GTTCGTGTGTTTTTTTCACTCGCTCGCTTCTTATTTTCAAATACTTTTGTGCTTCGTTCGCATCGATAAATATTTTATAAATTCTTACCAAGAATACGCGACAAATAAAAGAAGTGGCAAGAAACAGTGCGAATCATTGGCATAGAATCATTTTCACTCTTTCTCTCTCTTTCTCCGCTGTACACATTCGAAAACTTCTCGCCCGACAATTTTGATAGGACGCCAAGTTTCGAACACAATAGAAAAAAGAGCCACGCAGCGAATAGGAAAAAAAAACTGATATTTAAAATGTGATTTTCTTCTTTTAAAATAATGGCCTCTCACCCCTTTTTTCGTAACACTCTCATTACTTTGTTCACTCTATCACATTTTGGCTCTCGTTCTCGTCTAATTAACGATTGATGCTACAAAAAAAGCAAACAAATACACAGATAAGAGTTACATCAATCTGATATCTTGGCTGAGATGTTTTGAAGATGGTGATCGAATATAAATTCAGCAAAAGCAAACCACCATCAAAATCGATATGGTAATGAGATTCAACATATACATTCCAAATGAATATTCAATACCACATTTTTATTTTTATTCATTTTGATCCGATGTAATTTTCAAATTTCGATGCAAGTATTTTAATTTCAAAATGCAACGGACAACGAGAAGAAAAAAAAAACATTCCAGCAGCCCATTTGTTAGTGTATGTAATTAAGCGCCCAAAATAAGTGTAGAACACTCGTCCAGAATTGTTGTCAACTTAGTTTCGACTTTATTTTTAACGATATCAAATTTACCATTTTATCAAAGAGCAACATAAGTATTTCTGGGAAAGGGAGAAGACGCGCTTGACTTAATGAGCACTGAATGTTATGTACGCAATTTCGACAAATGTTACACACATTTTTATTATATACTTCGAAGCAGCACACCAACGTAAATGCAAATAATTAAACAAAGACGAAGAAACAAACAACAACAAAAAAATTGTGTGGCCCATCAAAACTACGAAAAAATACAGGCACAGAACAAATACATACCCGTACGGATGCATGTAATGAAAATAGAAAATTCAAACTCTTTCGTTGTGCGCGCGCTAACAAACTTTGTCTATTTTTTTCCCAGACTCTCTTCCATTCACTGTTCGCTGGTTCTACGTTTTGTTTTTTTCTCTCGAGCCTTTGTTCATGTATTATTTTTCTCCTGCTCATCGAATTTTTCTTTTCGGCCTTTATCTTAATGTGTTGGCAATATGCGCATTTAAAAAAAACGAAAATAAGATTAAAATTGTGGTATGAGTTAGACTGTATCACGATGCGAAGCACACTGTCAATGAAATGGGGTGCAAAAGACATGGTCTGCAAGAACACAACTCGCTTTTAGATAAACGAAAAGTGTATGTATATGGGGAGATGCTGTAGTATGGCAAAAAAAAAACAGAATTCAAGTGTCGGTGGGATGGTGTGGAAAAAAAGAGAAAAAAGGCGAAAAAGTAAAGAGTTGACGGTACTTTGTGTATTTGTTCAAATTACGAAAGCAGTCGTGCCTGCTTTCATTTATTGCGATTCTTTTTCACAAACATCTAACGATATATTATATTAAAATGGCGCAGAATGAATAAAAGCGAAAGAGAGAAAAAAACCGGGAGAAAAATCAATTTACACATTTTGTTTTCGATTTCAAGAAATTAATCAGATTTTTTTTTATCTATGTAATACATAACATTGAAGGACTTTAAAGAGCGTTGTATACGAACGCAAATAGGTATACAATTTTGATTGCCCAGACTAACGCTGAAAAATGAGGCTTTCAGATCATTAAGCATCAACCTGGTGAAATTGTGACGGGAATTTTTCTAGCATTTCGTTACTTTGGACCGAGTACAAAAGAACAAAAGTTCGATAAATTACATTCATTTAAACGTAGCTCTTGGTTCTGCTTGTAATCGAGCACTCTTTTGTAAAACGGCGATCACAAAAATCTCTCATTAATATCGAATAATAAAAATTGAAATACGATTTTTTTTCGCAATGCCAAAAGATCAAAAAATGTAACATTTTTCATTGGCTTTCACAATGCACACAATCAAATACATTTTCATTATATTTGTGAAAACGGTTTTTTTTTTCACAAACATTTATTTTTTTATCTACGCTCTCGAGTCAAACAAAATTCCAAATTGAATGGGATTGAATAAATATCGCCGAAGTAAATGCAATGACTTTAATTTTTATAAATGGAATTGATTTTTTCCCTATCCGTTCACTTTCTTTTTTTGTTATTCTGGCCGCCAATACAATAATTTTCCCTTGTGGAGATTTGAGAGGATTGTAAGGTAAAAGGGTTGGAAGTTCTTAAATTGAATTTCGGTGTAACTTGGAAAATGTTCGACTTCCATTTTTTCGGTGTGTGTATGACATTGTGTGTGTGTGTGGAATTGTGGACGCTCCTTATCAGTGTGAAATTTTTTGAGGGATGTGAATTGAATGGAATCCATTTCTTTGTTGGAGCATCCATTGACAAAAAATTCTTAATTGAATTAATAGTTAAATGAACTTGATGTCATTTCTCGTTGATTTTTTATTTATGGCGTTCACATTGTCACAATCAGACTCGGTCGAAAATAAAATTGTTCGTTCGGCCGGAGTTTTTTCTTTCTTTCATTATAAATCGAATGAAGGGATATACGCGTAATGCATTGGATTGATTTTCTCCTTTTTTTGCTCATTGTATAAAGACGTAATGTAAAAAAGGATTGATTTTCATGTTGAGTGTAATAAAAACAAGAAGCTGTATAAGCCGTGCATGATGAAGCAATGAAATCCAGTTAAGAATCGAACCAAAATCGAGTGAATGAGATCTTAACGGAAATTTGGCAAATGTGGTCAAAAGCCAAAGCTACTTTGCAGCAAAATAGTAGCGAAAAAAGAGAGCGACCAGGCGAATGAAGAGTTAGTAACGTAATAGTCGATTCCAATCTAATAAATGCCAGCACTTTTCACCTTATCAATTTCGTTTTCCATTTCACACATGTATTTTATAGGCATAATCTTGGCACGCGATGTGTAACACATTTCCTGTATTAAATATGTATTCGCTTTCATTGTGTGTTCCATCCAAACGACAACAAGACCAGCCAAAAGAGTAAAATACCTTATTATAAGGTTGAATGCGACAAAAGTGCGAACGGCGATCGTCAAAATGCTACACCAGCTCAATACAGCATCTACCAACGAAATCGATACACTGCGTAGGAAAAACTAACATTTCCATTGTTTATTGAACATGCGAATGGAATCTTAGATTTTCGGTGATGCTCAAAATTCGCCGTATAAAGCCCAATATCATGTGCACTGTTCATCCATTTGATGGTGTACGATATGCCATATATAAAGGCTATAGTCAGACGGTTATAAGGCTCTTGGGAGGTCCAGCCGCTTTCAATCGAATTTCGCCGGATGGCTTGTTTATTTTATGATGCATAGATTCAAATTCAGGGAAAGGGCGCAAAGATGCCACATGTACTCTTTTGGTTACATACGTAACACGACGTACACTCATTGCACAATACATGCGCCGCATACACTCACATTGATATCGTTGCTATTTTATTGAAATTGAAAATTACGAAAAGCACATACATATTTCTTTAGAAAATATTGTCTCATCGATTTTTCGTCCCTTGTGTTAACCAAGCATTTTGTACGCACATATACATTGTACATTTTCGACGTTTCGAATCGACATCACACTTTTGGCCAGTTAACGGATATAAGCAGTGAATTCATTTCGATTGAACATGAAATACGTGCAACGAACGTTTTGTACGAATTGAATCTTATTTATTGTTTTAATAACGTTTGCAGGATATATTCTGTCCGCATCTTACAAACACACACTCTCGCACACATTTCCCATTGAGCTCATATGAATTTTGTTGATTACACAAAGTGCCTGTTATTAGTCGGTGTTTGAATGTGTTTTTCTGCGTCTCCAAAAAATGATATTTATTGCAAATTTTTCTCATTCAATTCGTTTCGTTGATGGAAACTCTCAAAAGGCGCTTTTTTCATTTGAAAATGAGAAAAACTTGCGTTGCAAGTCTCATAGAGAACGTTTCTTTTACAGATTGTGAATCTATCTCTTCAGTTTAAGCTTCGTTTCTACTTTCATACCTTTTCCGATACAGGAAACTGTTAGTGTTATCTGAATATCTAGATTCAAAGTATCTCAAATTCAAAACGAAGAGAAAGAGTATGTGTATGAGAGGGAAAGAGAAAGAACGAACTGCGACGAGTAAATTTCCGTTTTACTTTCCCTTTCAATGTACTTGAATGTGTCCTTTCGAAAAGTTTTGGTCATACACCCATCGCTTCATGTTGCGATATAAAATGGAATTGGAATTGTAAATGGATTTTCTAGCGGGAGATCGTGTGTAATACACTCGATAAAAATACATACAAAATGTCCACATGCAAGATTTTGCTCGGAAAAACGTTGATGATAAACGATAAAATGGAAGATTTTCTTTAGAATGAGATGTGATTGAATGTGTCACTTTGAATCTTATTCAACAAAATGCAATTTTACTTATCAAATGAAACACGGTAAATCCACATTTGAGTTTTTTTTTTAGAAAATCACTCGAAATGATGATAAGACAGAATCAAGTACAAGATATTTAAATTTTGTTTCGAAAGAGAGAGAGAGAGATACGCTCAATTTAACGCTTTCAAGTGTGATACTGTCACATCACATCACATTTTGTCAATCAGTTCACAGCTGAAAAACATATGGTATTCTTTGCAAATTTGTCATGAATTGTATTCAAAACATCGGCAAAAATTGAATAATTGTATAACGTCCAGACTACGGCAAATGGCCGAAAAAAAAATAATTATTTGTTTTTCTGTAAAGAAAAAAAAACATTGAATGTTGATTTGACACACATTTGTTTGGTATATAAAAAGACTGTTGAATAAAAATGGTTAAATCAGTGATAAAAATGTATTGTGTTTGCTTGTTGCTCAGTGTTTTGATGAATTTTGTCGTAAGTTCTTATAATTTCTTATTTTTTTCAAGCTTAAAAGAGTTGTTTGTTTGAATCCAGGTGAGCTATGAAGTAATTCGTCTTCCACCAAAGTGGGTTCATCCATATTCCTTACACTACGATATTGAGTGTAACAACTTATACTTCTCAGATCTTTTAAATCAAACCATTAATCGCTTCGATTTAAATGATAACCAGTATTATTTGGCTTCAATTGAAGGCGATATTGCACCAAGTTTCATAATTCCGCTAGAAGGACAGAAAAATAAATTTGTTATTAGTGATAAACGAACTGTATCGATAATAAAATGGAATGGAATCGACCACACCGCAACAGTTATCCGAAAACTATTCACTGTAGAAACAGAAGAGATCAACGCAAATAATAATTGGAATATTGCAAAAGTATCTCCCGTAACTTGCAGATTGTACGGTGGCACATTCCGTGGAAATCTTTGTTCGAGCGAACCGGGAGGATTTGCTTCACTTTATTCGTATTCTAAATTAGGTGGTGTAAAGCGTCTTAAGAGTAATTTTAAAATTTCGGGTGGAATTGATTGGAATGTAGCCAAGCGATTATTTTATCATATTGATTCATGCAATTTGGTCATTAGAGAGTACTGCTGGGATCCAAAAAGTGGCAAATTAAGTGAGTTTGAACCGATCAATTGCTATCACATACAATTTTTTTTCAGTTAACACAGGTAATTGAAAATATCATCTCGAACTATCATAGGTAACGGTCGTATTGTGTATAAATTCGACAATTTCGGTGATAGTGGTTTGGCGTTGCTCGGAATGACCATCGATAAAAAAGGATATTTATATGCGGCTTCTTATTTGGGCAGTGATGTTTTGAAAATAAATCCAAGGTGAGATTAAAATATTTAGTTCGAAAACATATGTTGTAACTTGTATGTAACAGCAATTTACAAAAGTCTCCCAGTCAATTCACAATTTTTCACCAATGTCCATTCGAATTTAAAAAAAGGGCTTTTTAACTTTTTAGAACATCAAAATTAGTGGAAAGAATAAAAATTCCCGCGGAGGCAGTGGCGTCAGTCACATTTGGAGGTCCAAATCTTGATATTTTATTTGTATCCACCGATGACCGTCCATTCAATATAACTACAGGTGGAATTTCCACAAGAGATATTTCCCCATTGAGTGGATCAATATTTATGGTCAAAGGACTCGGGTCAAAGGGTTATCCTGGACGTAAATTGTGCATTCCTTGAGAATAAAAAGTTAATTGATGTCATAAATATCATTTTCTCTACTTCCAATTATCGAATACAAATAAAATTGTTGATTCAAATCCAATTCCGTACATTTATGTGTGTTCTTTGGCGGAACTTCTGAGTTTCGACGAAAATGTTGAATTAAAATGGTAATTTAAATCAACTCAAATGTAGATGTTTTTAAATCGAAATACATAAAATTGTCTATTGCATCGCATGTTTGTACCCGCTCTTAAATGATTTTCATTGGTTATTTTTATATTACAATTGAGTGACCGAATTGTAAAAAAGAACTCATTTTCTAAGCTGTAAAAACTTGATAGAAGAAATGTTAATTTCATTTGAACGATGAAGGAGATCAGAATCAAGCAACCCTTTCACAGCATTATTTTTTAGGGTGTTTTTTTTCTCTCTCTCGTTTCGATTACCAAGCATCGTAAACACTTCCTCACTAACACTTTGACATCTCAACATTTTCGTTCATTCTTCTTGCGCTGCGAAGTGAATGTTTTAATCCCAACAGACTTTTCTATTTCTTGCACAAATGTGATGTACTTATGCGTTGGTCCGAAACTGAAATGGGACATTGTGTTTTTTTTTTTATTCAACTTCTGCTTCTCCTTTTTATACGATATGTTTCTTATGTGCCGTTGATTTGCGTTTTCTTCAGCAGTTTTTGTGTGTTGCGTCCCAAAGTGTGTGTATTTTTTCCGTTGTTGTTGAGTATGTTGCGTAAATGTTTTTTAAATTCCATTTTCAATTAAATTCTTCAATAGTAAGTATTTTTAATGAGGGAAATGACAGTGCAATTTTCTCATCTGCTTTAAGACTTTCGTTTTCGTTATAAAGCTTTCGAGCCGTTTTTACTCGTTGTGGAATTAGAAAGAGCGACAGATTCATCCTATTATATGATTTGTCAGTGCAGTCATGCATGCTGCGATTTCGCCCTTAAAGTGTTGAAAATCAAAGTAGTCAACATTATTATTTTGATAAGTATTGTGGAAAAAAGGAGACGACGACGATGAAATAAACGTTAGAATCGACTTCAAGTTCATTTGTATGTGTGTATCTTTTATTTTCTCTAACAATCGTTTCACAAGCACAACAAGAAACCCCTATGAAATCGAAACGATACTAAGTGTCGAATATCTTGAATGTGCAACTGCCCAAATTATTTTAACCTTTTTTAACGATCAAACAAAAACATTTTTTTTTTTTTTGAAACAAACTCTATTGGAATTTGCAACACTTTGTAACGGCCAGCAAAAAAAAACAACCAAATTCGGCATAAACGTGGACGACGAAATAAAATTAAGAAAGAGAGCAGAAACAATATTCATTATTCATTTCGGCATATTCTTTGCTCACATTTCTTGCTCACATTCGGCTATGTATCGTTTACTTTCATTTACGAACAACGAATCAAAAGAAAAGCAAAAAAACCGTTTGAAGTTTTTCGAGAACCAATCATAGGAGCATTCGCGCATTTTCCACTTCCATGTGAAAACCATCGTCATCGTTCAGTGCGTTTTTTCAGCTACGTTTACTTCGTCGTGTTTTTTTTTATTTCTTTTTAATTTAAAGACGACACAGGCTATGTACTCCATATATACACATAAATTTACTGTTGCCATTGCCATATCTCGTGATGTGCCTACTACTTTGTGATTCGAACATTATTTTGCCATTCGTTTGGTAGTCGCACGACGTTAGCAAACGCCGAAAAAAGGAAAGTCCAACAGAAATGTAAAACATTTTTCTGATTGGTTCAACTGTACGCCTTAGCGCACTGGGAAAATTGCTTGGAAATATTGTGTTGTACTCGAATATGCTTGGCTTTCGTTTTTCTTATTTATTTTTGTTGTTGCTTCTTTCAAGAAATGCGTGTACACTGATTTTTCGTTTGGTACGCAATTTATGCTCGTATTTCTATGTGTATTTGATTGAAAAAAAGCCTTTTTTTCTCTCTCTCACACACAATTTCTTCTGTTTTGCATATTTGATTTGTTACTTTGGATGTTTTTTGATTCGTTGACAAGTCCTCACTGATTATTTTTCCGTATTTCCTTTTTTTTTTTCCGAAGACCAGTTTACCAGACCATCAAAATGTCTTCGTTATGATTTTGCACATAAATATTCGAAATTCCACAGTTGTTGAATAAAAGAAAAAAATGTTGGGCACAAAGGAATGCAAGTCGAATGACTCTTTTTCTCTTTGTCCATTGAGGACTGAACCGCTTTTTTGGTTCAAACTATCGTTTTTATATTATTGTTATGGTTTAAACTACCGTACAAATTTCAATTTAATCAAGTACATGACATTCGGACGTCGGCTTGACCTTTTTTTTGAAATTCCTTCATCCCTGGCGGCCATAAACATAAGGAGCAACCAATTGTGCTTAATAAATAACGTCGTTGGGCCGAAAATAAACCGAAATGAAAATAAAATTAAAATTACTCCGAATATAAAACGATTACATTATAAGTTGAAAGTCATTTGCATGCGGTGTATAAAAATCAGCAGTGGTCATTATGCAATATAAAAATGTTATGAAAAAAAAAAACGATGAACGAGGAAGGGGTCAAGATGACAGCAACATGCTTTTATATGCAATAAATAACATTCAATTTGTATTTTGAATATGAGTCACATATTGGATCATTTTCGAAATTGACCAGCACATGAATATAGTGACAAAGAGGTCAAGCTTTAATGCATCGCTACTTCATAAAACTTGTAGCATGCATGCGATCTCTGTTCCTTCATAATCGAGAAAGGGATCAAAATTGCGATTGAAAAAATGAAATACAAAGGTCAAGACTGCCGGCATTTAAATGACCTATGGGAACTTTCTTTGAGGGAATGAATAAATTGGCCCTAAAGAAATGCCTTCCTCTAACCCTTTTTATCTCTCATTTCTTGATGACCAATGGCTACTGACCAGACGATAAATCTTTTCGCCTTTTTTTTCGCTCGAAACTTATATTGAGGTCATTCTTTTGGCATTCACTCAGTTTAAAATGAAAACAATCAAATGCTCGTGTTCAGGTTACGAATAATTGAAACACCGAATCATTTCATTCATATCTATGTCATAAGCGTTTGTACAATCCATTGAAAAGGACCACCCATTTCGTTCTGCATCGAAAATTGCTTACGACTTTTTGCTCATTCCCTCATTTCGATAAAAATGATGTGAAAATCGGTGTGTTCATTGCGTTGTAACTATTTTTGTCATGAAATTTGCATAAACATACAGTTTGGGTTCAAAAATAATCGTCCCAATTCAGCCATTAAGAACAACACACACATATTATTGCCGGTACAACGTCTTTTATGTGCAATTTCTTCTTCTATTTGATTTGTTATTCCTGTTTCGTCCTTTGAATGTAAGAAAGTGAAACTTGTTGCAATTGAAAATAGATATGGGACGTTCTTTAGCATAACAATAGACAAAAAAATAACAAATTTTTCTCAGACCATTGAAATTTTGTCGCATTTTTACATTGTTTTGAAAATGTAACCGTCATTTCAAGTTTGATGAAGAACTAACATCATAATTTATACGGTTTCGGTCGAGCGTGCAAAAGGTCGAATATTATATTGTTATCCAATAAAGTTCCAGGTTAACATATAATCAAATGGTCATCAAAATAATCGCAAAACTGGCCACTAACGTACAACCCCTGCACTTATAACAATACCGCTCAGGTCAATTTCGGTGCCGACAAAGAAGACATTTCATAGGCGCATAATGCTGCACATTCTACAGGTCAAACAGATATTTATTTACTTTCACGCGCCAAAAATTACACACACATTACACAATGTAATCTTTTGGTCATTTGATTACATTTTTTTTCTTCTGTCGTAACGGTCAACTCAGAAACGATCAAATCACAAAGATTTGATTCATCGTTGTCGGCCGTTATACGCTATAACTGAAATAAATTGTATCGGTGCGTATGAGCACGTTTTACATAAAACTACGATTTTATTAAAATTGCGTCCAGAAACCAAATAATACATTTTCTTTTAAGCCATTAAATTCAAAAATTGAATATTTTTCTTCTTTCAATTCAAACATTTATTCTTTCGAAAATTGTTAGCTTATGGCAAAAGAAATTTAAAGCGCTAACATTTATTTTCTCAAATGAATTTGCATATGAAATGGAAACCAACACAAAAAGGACTGTGATAACAGCGATGAGAGTATTTAAATTTTAGCTGAAGTATGCAGTGAGATTCTTTATTTATTCTCCCTTTATCCGCCTAATGAGAATTTTACGTGATTTGTCGACCAAAAAATTCAAACTTGAGGTTTTGAAAAGAAAAGAAAGACATACATGCTGTTCACCGTTCGTGTGTTTCAATGCGTGCAACATCCCTCTAGATGAACGAAGTGTGATATCGTAAAAAAATCGGTTAAAACCAAACTGATGCCCTCTCACATAAAAATAACATTCGTCGCAAGATTTTGTTGTCCTATATTCTTAAATACCTTTGGCAAATATTTGATTTTTTTTTTAAATCGGAATTCGGTCTCTTTCACTCCCGATGACAAAACGATTGTTTGAAAGCAAAAGTTCGTGCTTGTATGCATGAAAAATTTGTACATTGACTATAAAGTCCTGGCTCGTTTTTGTGTAACAAAGGCTTTAGTCTTTTAAATTGAAAAAACCACAACGGAAGAATGAACTAATTCAGTTTGCTGGATTAGCATTGCACAAATCAGATTTTCTCTTATTATGACAGCTGAAGCTGAATCAGAAACAATGAACGGAAACATTTCCTCTCCTCATCTCAACATTAGTTTCATTGATAGAACGAGAGAGCTGAAGAAAAAAGTCTTTCTCTTTCTGTGTCAAACTTTGTTTACTCAAGGTGTGCAACGTTGAAAGAAGTAATTCTCCATTGCTCCGAACATCGATCAAACTCTAATGCTGCAATATAATGCATCTTAAATGCTCGTGAAATCCGTATAACCACTGTTGCAATTGTTACAGTTCAATATTTACGCCAATTCAAATATTGGTTTCGTCAGACCTCAGGACATCAAATTGTAATATTGTTCAAAGTTTTTTTCTTGTTCAATTTTAATTGTTTAATAATATTTTGAATAAAATATCCAATCAATCATTTGATGATTGTAGTCTTGACAATTCAAAGTAAGAATGTTTATTGTTTTCATTAGAATTTTTGTCCATGCTGACAACATCAATAAGATTTCCGATTGAAAATGAGAGAAATCCGTTTATAAATTTACGTCGTCTTATTTACATCATTAAAAATGAGATATTTTTTCATTAAAACGTATGAAAGTTACATTTTAATTGCAAGCTCGAAAAAAATTAATTAGATTCAGATCATTTTTTGTGATTTCCAAAAAAAAAGAAAGAAAAAAACACTCAAACATGTCAGAAAAATCGTTTCATAATTTTCTCCGTTGACAAACTGCCAAAGAAAAATCTACATAATTGATACAGAACTGTTCCTGTGGGCGAAAAAAAGTCACTTCAACTTGGGATCATATCAAAACAACCAGTGAATATGGCGCATTTTTCGTATACTTAAAAAGCGAGAGATTAGAAGGAATTCAAAGGAACTGTTTTCCAAACAATAATGCGGCACTGATAAATTGGGTTGTTCACATTCCACACACACAAAAAAAAAAACAAGACGAAAAAAGTGTGTACTTTACACAGTGTTTGTTGTATCTGTTTTAATATTAATATTTGCCCATCGCTCATTTCAATTAAAACAGTCCAAGGCAGCGAACAAAATTTAAATCTCAAAAAATATTTCAAATGAATTATAAAGGCTGAATAAAGTGCTGGCTGAATGATTTTTTTTGCGCGAGACAAAAAAATATATAACAAAAACAAAGCGCAACCGAGCAAAAGAGAAAAAAACGCGTAAGAACCAACATAAACATCAGTGAAAATTATGAAAAAATCACGAATGAAATGTTAATTGCATTCAGAAAAAAAAGGCACGGCTTTGCACTTAGTATGCAGAGTGGATGATGCTTTCATTTAGCATGGAATAGAAAACAAAAATAAATAAATAAGTAGCTACATTTCGTCGGTGTTCGTTCTTTTTCTTTCTCTCATGTGTGTGTGTTGCGTGTGTGCGCAGCGAAGTAATTATAAATTCACGTCATTACATTTTAAGAGAACGACCAAAAATCATAGCCACCCATTAAGCAGAGAGTTCGAAGTATGGATCCATTTGTTTTCACTGCTTAATTAAAAAGGTCACTTTTTTTAATTCGATTTTGAGCGCTTTCACTTTCAGTGACGAACTCACTAATCTGCATGGCAACATTTGATGTTCAGTGCCAATAAAAAATGTATGCGCGTGCACATGATATGCCTGTGTTTAGAATAATGATTTTTTGCTTCATCAAAACCATTTAATGGGAATTCAAGCATAAAACCAGCGCTTGTCAATATTTTTCTTGAACATTCCAATCGAAAATAAAAGCAGTAATGCAACCAAAAAAAAATGTATATATTTATCATGGTCTTTTAATTTTCGGTTGTGATACCTCTCTGCGCCTGCATTATCCTTAGCTGTGAACATTCGATGATTTCGTGCTTGGGAGAAATCAAAGTTTACTTGGGATCACATTACCATTGGTACGATTTCACCCGAACACATGTTTCTTCATCGCATATTGGATGCTTTTATATTGTGCCCACGTCTTTATTCAGTGGCTAAGAAACAGACACACATTATCCGTTATATTGGTTTTTATTCGGACATTCAGACAAAAGAAAAATATACACCAAAAACGGAAAACATTCAACATGTTTGTGGCGACTTGTTTGATACGGCACCGTGTTGATTTAGAAAAATCATCATTGGTTTCTGGTGAACTTGCAAAGATATGGTGTTAACTTAATAGGATAATATGTTTTATACGATGCCGACATCCCAAAAAAAAAACTATTAATAGGTCAATTGGTCAATTGGCCGAAATTTGTGCGTTCAACCTTTTCATTTAGGTACAAGTCCAAGATAGTTTTCTTCTATAGGGAGCGCGTGTGCCTATTTTTTTTTCTTCTTCTTCATTGTGTACAGAACGCGTATGTCTCAGTTCCTCAATCGGTTGCGGACAGTTAAATGGATTACATATCGTCATCATTAATCATATGTTGATCCACTGTTTGGATGGACAGAACTTGAGAAACAACTGGATAGGTCGAGTGTCTTTTGATTAGTCTATTTTCTTTCTCGATTCACTGGCGTGAAACAAATAAATCGCACACATTTATCTTATACACACAATCTAGACATCAAGTGATGTAATAATCGTATTTCGACTCTGATTGCCACTCATAATTGTTGGAAATGGTAACCGTTATCACTCGATAAAATGTGAATTGGAATATTATTTCATCATTCAAAATATGCACCCAATTGTTGTGAAGTATTTACAAGTTTTTTTTTTTTTTTTTTTTTTTAAAATTATTTTGATATTTTTTTTTCATAGGTAATCGTAGTTTTCAAAGGTGTTTCTCAAACAAAATGTTCATACCGTTTTGTAATACAGAATTGTGCAAAGACTAGATAAGCATAGAAAATATATAATAAGTATGCATTAATATATATTAGATTAAATCAATGATGTTTGGTAAAATGGAAGCGACATAATTCGTACAATGTGAACGGACACAAATGACGATATCTTGGCTCTACTTTCATTCACGCATGTATTGTGCATAGTGCTGTGTTAGCTGATTTGCAAATGTACGACGCATAATTCGATGCGTGAACATGGGGAATGGATGTGATGGGTTTCTGTAACTATTGATTGTATTAAATCGTTTATTATAATAAATGTGTAATGTCTATAAATTTCCATCTATCTGATCCTAGGGGAGAGAAACCAATGCTAGTTTTCTAATTTATAGCTATTTTTTATAATTTATTGCTATTTTTTCTAGTTTTTTACTTAAATAATCTAATAATGCTAATTTTCCCTTGTGAAATTGCTAGTTTTCTAGTTTTACGTATTTTACGTTTGACTGTTCTATCGACTTTACGTAATAAAGTATTTTGACGTTTTGTCGTTTGACTTATTAAGAAGTATACTACAGCTCTTTGTTTACGTTTAACGTTGTTTTAATTTTTCTTTGTTTATTCATTGTTTGCATCAAAAATCATTATGAATTGGTCAAAAATACAAGAAATAATTGGTGAAGATATACCAAATTGTGTAAAAACGTTTTTATCGGTGTGTGCGTATGATACTTTCTCAAGTATTCAAAACATTTCGAGTGAAAGCATAATTGATATCGAACGTCACATGAATACTTGTCCAGACATTATAGCAAATCTTGATTGTTGCCATTCGGATGAATATAAAAAACAACGGCATTTTAAACTTCTACTAGGTCATAGAGATTTTTTATTATCGATATCAAAATACAAATACAATGCATCTCATGAAGTTCTTTCAAGTATTACGCGAAATGTGGGAAAAAAATTAACACTTCCAGTCGTGTTACAAGCAATGGTAGAATCATGTGAACAAAACTCAGGAAGGAATAAATACCATGTGCAGTACAACGACTTGATTCGATATTTTTCAACGTACACATTTCTGTCGGCCGGTCGTTCTTCGTATGAATTTTTGAGAAGCAATCTTGATCTACCATCTACGAAAACTGTCCGTAAGTGTGAACGTCTAAATTAATTTCATCTTTCAATCGCTTTCAAATATACACATTTTGTTTAAAAATTAATTCTAGTCAATTGCATTGAAAATAACAAGTCAACAATCATTGAAGGGAAACTACGATGTCAAGAACTATCGGAGTATTTGATTAATTTGAATGCCGTCAAAAGTGTCTGGATCTCAGAAGATGCAACAGCCTGTATTCCTACAATTAAATATGACCCAAAGACAAATCAACTTGTAGGAATTTTGTTGCCTACGAATAACACAGGATGCCCTATTCCATTCAGGTTGATGAAAAAATATTTATTCTTACATTATTCTGAAATTTCTTTATTGAATGAGCTCTAAATAGACTATGTCCTTTCTTAAATTTAGTTTTCTTGCGAAAGATGCCGATACGATTGGCCAATATATAACTCTGCCAAAGTCAAAATTTGCTTATGTGATTATCGCACAAGCATTGGATGAAACTGTGCCTCCATTTATTCTCCAAATGTTTGGTACAGGTGTTGGATCTTTTAAATCTCATGATGTACTTCGTAGATGGGATTTTACAATTGAAGAGCTCGAAAAGTAAGGAAGTAATTATTTTATTTGTATTTTGCATCCCATTTAATCTCATCATTCAAAATTCAGATATGGAATCGAGGTGGTGGGTGCTTCTTCTGATGGGGACACAAAATTGTTAGCTGCAATGTGTGGTAAGATGTGCGGAATTGGAAGAGACCTTATCGTTACGCAAGACCACATACATCTTGGAAATAAATGTCGAAATCGAATGTTGAAGCAAGATGTACATTTACCAATGGGAAAATTCGAAGTGTCGATAAAGCATTTACAATCACTTGTAATGAATGTACAAAAAAGCGTTCATGGTTTATCGCAAGTGGACGTCTGTCCAATTGATCGAATGAATTATGATTCTTTTGAGAAAGTGACCAGGGATAGAACAATCGAATCGTTGCAAAAACACATCAAAAATAGTGATGCCACGATACAATATTTAAAAGTTTGCCGCGACGCAACAATGAGTTATATGGAAAACGGTTTAACTCCAATCGAACGAATAAAAAAAATATGGCACGCTTTATTTTTCTTCCGAATTTGGCGTAGTTATGTCACATCCTCAACACGATACACATTGGGAGATAACTTTTTGACTACAAATGCGTACATGTGCGTTGAAATTAATGCACGGAATCTGATTCGGCTTATCAAAAAATTTCGAGATGCGAATCAACCAGAACATTTTTTGCCTGGTATTTTTGACAGCCAAGGCTGCGAAAATATTTTTCGGTTATTTCGTTCAATGGGAACGACACAATATACGAAAATAAACTTCAGCTTATATGAATTGATGCATATGATTAGAAGAGTGGAAACACTAAACGATATTGCATACGTCAAATTGGCTGAAAAAAAAGTGAATTTTCCGAATAAAAGAACAGGCAAAGCCATCATTTTTAATTTGCCGTCAGATGAGGAAATTGATGCAAGTATTGCCATTGCTAAATCTCAAGCAATTGAAAATGCAGCAACGCTAGGAATGTCTACTACAAATAACATAGATGAATTCGAAATTCGCTCCAATCTGCAATTTGATGAGGAAGAGGAAGATGATACAGAAGCATTTATTGAAAATACTAATGCTGAAGACGAAGAAGTAATTTTGGCTGAGTCTGACAAAGATGAAATGGAAGTTGACGAAACCTCACGCTTCGTTATTGTACATGATGAAAATGGTGCAAAAAAAAAAATTCTCAAATCTACGTTAATTTGGATGCTAACAGAGCCGCGCGATAAAATCAGTAACGATCGACTTAGACGAGTTCAAGTTCATAATGATGAAGGATAATCAATTAAATATTTCATACACTTTTTAACTTTCACAATTATGTAGCGGCCCTGTTATGTTTAAGATTTAAAAAGTACTGTTTTGAAATTTAATCCTCTTTCTAAGTTTTAATTCAATACAAATTACTTCAATAAATACACTCTTAAACGAATTTCATATTAATATAAAAATTTAAATTCAAACATAGACATCAAATTATATCAACTTAAATAAAACCATTTATCTGAATAGATAAGTTTTTTTTGTTTTTTCTTTGTAACAATAGAAAATTGCACATTTTTTTACTATAAATATTAAAATATTCAATTGATAAAGATTTCAGTCTTTCAAGTGTTTAATGCATTTAATTGTGGGTTGTTTTTTTTTCGTACAACCAAGACAAAAGTGAAAAATGATTGAAAACCTTGTGAGCAGTTAGCACATTCTATGAGATTTGAAAATAATTTAAAGTAATTTAATATTTTTTATGGAAACATTTTTAAAATTGTACGACAAATAACAACTAATGGAATGAGAATCAGATCTTATGAAAATATGCATACTATTTCCAAAATATTCATGATTAAAAAAAACCGAATTCTTATCGTTTTTTTTTTCAAGTGTTGCTAGTGAAAATTTGATTTTTCAACATTTCCATTTAAATATTGCCATTATTGATTTTTTTGGTTGATGTCTTTCTATTCTAGCATCTATTTGATTGGATATTTGGATCGAAGGATTATTTATAGGAAATTCAGTGACTGTACTTGATGAAGATAATAGTGGCTCCATTAAAGGAAAAACAGATCCAAACCTATACATAAACATTATTTACAGAGACAGAAATGCACAATTATCAAGCAGTCGTAAGAAGATATTAGCAATTTACTAATTTGCTGTAATAAAATCTATAAATTGTGAAATTCAAAAGTTTTTCAAATATTCTGACCGACTTTGAATGTAAAAAATCAGTAATATTAAATGTTTGACAGTTGTCGTTTTGCTACTTTTCACAAGAAAAAACATATATATACAAACGTACAAAGAGAGATGCTAAACCGTGCGGACCATGCGTCTGTGTATTTACGTGTATATATGTATATGTATATTACTATTGCATCTATTATGATTCCTTAGCGCATAGAAGTACTGTGACTTTTGTACATATTTGACATTTCATTCCGCCAAAAATAAGCAACCGGCACATAATCGTTGCATACACATCGTTAATACTTTTTGAAACCAATCAAAATTTTAGCTTCGAGATATTCATTTCGTTTTTTTATTTGGTATTTTTTTGGTTTTGTGATTTAAAACCGAAATGAATTGTGTATTTTGCCAAGACCCATTGTTTGGTGCAGAAAATTCACAGTTAACGGCTGCAAAGTGTGGTCACGTTTTTCATAGCAATTGTCTTGAAAACGCATTAAAGTACAAGTAAGTAGATTTTTGGTGCAAATGCAGTGAAATTTAAAAAAAAACCTTGTTCATATTCATTTCAAATTTAATCTGAATTTCGTGTTTCTAGAACATCATTTTGTCCATTGTGCAAACAAAGACTACTAATGCGTCATGCTGGTCCTTTGCATCTTCAAGCAGAAGATATTGAACCAAATGTCCCGAATATGGAAAATGAACAAAATGAAGACATTCAGAACATTGGATCGAATGACGACGATAGTGCCAATGATCAAAACGTTAACGAAATTGACATGGAATTGAATGGTGCGATGCAAGACGATTCGTCTGCAAATACAACTCAAGAAGTAGTAGGCGCTGAAAATGTTGCGATGCAAGACGAAGCGTCTGCAAATTCAAGCGAAAATCTTGGACAAAAACCTGCTATTACAACGCAAGAAGTAGTAGGCGCTGAAAATGATGCGATGAAAGACGAAGCGTCTGCAAATTCAAGCGAAAATCTTCGACAAAAACTTGCTATTGTCAACATTTCAAATACTCCGACACCAAGTAAGATCATACAGATTAATCTAAAAATTCATAAAATTCACTCTACTTTTATTTTTCAAGTGCAAGTCGTTGACCGTCGTAACACCATTGCACATGAACGTAATGCACGTGTCATTTATACAGTACGTCCTGTGGTATTGGCTAGTCCATCTAACAATCGAAACAAACTCCCAGCAATTGCTCGTGATGTGATCATGCCAAACATTCCAAGTGTTTCAAATTCGTCAACTAACAATGACAACGGTTTAACTGAAATTCCCCTTCAACAACAACGAATGGCCAACGTCAGCAATACTTTGATTCCAAGTAAGAGAGAATTCACTGAATAGTCAAAAAAATGTTTTATTCCGAATTTTGTATGCAATTTTCTTTTTTTTTGGATATAGAACGTCGTCAAAGCCTATACGATCGAAATGTACGTATCGGTCGTCCAGAAAATGCCACCCAGGTCGAAAGTTTAATAAGACGTTCGCAAAGAAATCGGAAACCGGTACATCGTTATAATGTGGGCATAACACTTTGCTGTGTATGCAACAAATCGTACCGTCACGACGACGTTGAACATTATGGTGGCCAAGTCGTATGCTCCATCGCTTGCTTCAAAAAAGGCAATTAATGCTGACATACAGAAAGATATTTATATGAAATATAAACAGATCTCGTTCCGATTTTTTTTTATCAAATGCAATCAATTAGTAGCGAAAAATTTTTTCTTGTGATTTCATTCAGATATATATATATCAGCTTACAGTATCGATTCATTAAAAACAATGTGATTTTTTTATATAAATATCAGATCAATTCTTAAATCTGAAATAATTTATTGGTTTTCTAATAAACTAATTTAGTTGAACAAATAGTGTTTTTTCAGTGTTTTTAGCAGGTTTTTTAACAGGTCTAATTAACTAGAAAATTGCACATTTTTTATCATTCAAACAGTTTCTTCGGTTTCAGGACTGTCATTTATGTCGTTTTCTTCAGTAATGCATTCGACATCGCAGAAATCGACGTGGCTCTTCATGTGTTTTGTTAAATTACTGGTCATCCAAAATTTCTTGAATGTTACTGGAAAAATTTTGGGGCAAAATGGGCACACAAATCGACACTTGCACACGAAATCATTAACGCTTGAGCCACGGGTAAAGTCACGGATGCTGATATCTGGGCCAATCAAATTATTGGGTAGAGGACATTCATTTTTCTTCATGTTTTTCATGACATTCGAAATCAGCTTAACCATCAGTTCATCGTCGGTGTGTTCCTTCTTCTTTTTCACAAACGCGACTTCTTTGACGCCACTCATTTGCTTGATTTGTTCTGGAATGCCCAGAACAATAGTTTTATGACCCGGAAGAAAGTAGAATGATGCTTGCTTCTTGTATTCTTCACTTTTGCAACAGCTCAAGCTATCGATCCACGATGGACGATTTTCAACAATATACTTTTCAATATCTTTTAAACGTTCTCTGTCAATTGCTTTTAAACTGTTTAGTCTGTCATACGCAGCATATTCCAAAAACTGTTTCATGCATTCGGGATATTCTTCACCATAGAATTGTTCCAATTTGTCCCAACACGCAGCTTGTTTAAGTTTTGGCTGAAATATCATACGATGGAAACAATGATATACGGTTCATTATCACTGGCATTCTTTCAGAAATGCTTGAATATATTTACCATGATTTCTCTTTTTGATTTGATTGCAATTTGGTTTTATTTTTCTTTTGAACTGAACAAAAATATATGAATACACATGAACTGAATACAATTTGTGCTGACGGCTCAAACTTGAATGCTGCGCCAATTCGACTGAAGTTGAGTTTGACAGTACACTAGACAGTACGTAATACGTATTGGATACGTAATGAGCTGTCGTACAAGAATCGGCAAAGCAGTAAAGTTACAAAGTAATATACGCATAAATTGATTATTTTTTATTTATTTTCTTGGTTTATTTTCTTATAAAATTTGAATTAATAAATTTAAAATAATTTACAAGAAGTTCCATTCATTTCAAAATAGAAAATGTGATAAAATAGTGACCAAATTATCCATTACCAAAGTAAATTGTGAATCAATAATTTTCGCTAATTTTTTGCTAATTTTTCTAGTTTTTTTCTAGTTTTACATGGAGTAGAGAAAAATTAGCTAATGGTTTCCTTCCCCTAGATCTGATCTTTAGAATTTTCATTCACCGTCGTCACCCATTGTGCGTTTTGGGGTAAATTCTATTTAGTGATTGCCCCCACACAATATACCATACCACAGCACATCAAATGGGCACAAAAAAATATGCATGTAACAACAACGAACGTATTCACGCTCTCACACTCCCCATCATAACACATTCAACGTCGTATATTTTAGTTTGACGATATGAGGGAAAATTGCCTCATACTTTTAAGTTGGTTTTTCTTCCTTTCGGCAAATTGTGTGGATGCGATATTGTATGTAACTTTGTAATCACTATGAATAAAGACCATGTCCGTTATTTTCGAACGTCCAAAATTGCCGCTATATCGTTGGAAATATGCGTTGCTTTGAGAATGTTAGAATGTTCAATACAATTTTATCATTATTTTCTCGACACTATATGTGCTCTTGCATAAACAAAATGCTTCACTCGTACATACGATGCGCACCCGGGCCAAACAAGATAAAACGATTCAACACACATACAAATAACAAATATTATGCTTATGCATGCGTTACTAAATTTACAGCTCGCAATCGACGAAACACACACACACACTATTTACTTCAATATTACAGACACACACACACATACGGCAATTGCTGATTCAAATTCGCACAATCTACATATTCAAACTAAGTAGTAAGGTACTTTCATTCTACAGTTTCGCCGTTGGTATACTATATATGCATATAGTGAGATAATGTGTGCCCATTATAGTGTAATATGAGAGAGATAACGAATGTGAAGCGAAACAACGACCAAATCGAAAGGAAAAAAACACACATCTTTGACGCTCGCACCGAGTATGGACATAAATTGCTAAAGTATTCAAACCAAGCAATTTCATTCTTCGTCTCCATCTCCGCTCCGTTTAGCGACGGGGCATTATGTGCGTAGATGTTTGTTCAGTCCACAAAAAAACATGGATGTGGTGGTGTGGTGGTGGTCATGCAATAGGCATTCGCAACGAATCTTCATTTGAATACGTAAATAAATTTGGTCGTTTGCCACTGTATGCTTTTAGAGAAGCATGTCTTTGGCCCTCACTAACATTGTATGGATTTCACTCACTCACACTCTTTCGCTTTGTTGTGATAGTAGTTTGAGTCGATCTTCACATGAATGCATACAGTTCCGATTGCCATTACACGAAATGGTTGTTTTGAATAGATAGGGTTGTTACTGTGTTGGCTGGACTATGTTAAATTCAAAGTAATGCTGCCAATCTAACGATATCGCTGATGTTAGATTTTGAGATTTTACATTCTGCGCTCCGAATATAATTACGATTGAATGTTTAAATTTTCGTAAAAACGAGCCTTGTGCCAGATTATATGTACTGTGTGTGCAAAGTATTATCTATCAAAGACCGCCTGACACACACTTTGATCTTGATTTTGTAATTTGGCATTTTTGTAGAAACTTCTGAAAGACAGGTTACGTCAATTCCTTCTTGCTTCATTTAAAATGAATCAGTTTACATTTATTTTTAGTCCTATTCAATACCATGATCGATTGGAAGATGAGTGAAATGAGGATAGTGAATAAATATTCTATTTCATCAAAACCTGACCGTATTCATGTTTGCCATAATCGTATGCATATATTTTTATGTTCATTCCATAATACACTAGCTGTCTTTTCGGCATCAAATCAGCATATACAGGGTGTTTTACATCTTCATGCAAATTGCCGAACTCATTACGATCAAAATGTTAAATTTCTCATGGGTAAACAAGATAATTCGAAACATTTACTTATTTTGAGTTAAATGAAAATATTGGTGGAGAGATTTCTAAGAAATTATGAAATACCCTGTATCTGTATGTCATCCGAACAAATACCAGCTCTACTGCTCTATTCAGTTTTCAAGCGAATCGCACAATTTTGTGTTTTTATCAACTGCTACTCTCTTTTTAGTAACATGCGAACTTTATTTCTTATCCGTACGTCATATTTTTTTTATGATTTTTACGACAGGTTCGATATATGTCTTTCTTTCGGCCAGCAAAAGGATAACGCACTAGGATGTAAAAATCATAAAAAATATATATTGATATTTTCCATTCTTGTTGTGCGAACCATAAAAACCAGAGCTGTTATTACATGAATTCGATTCTGTAATTTATGTTATCGAATGAAACAATCAGGTATAAATCAGTTACACTTTCACCATAACTTTATGGCAACTGGCATGCCAGTGTAGCTCATTTGAATCACTTTCCCCGCAACAAAATCAAACTACACTTTTTTTATATTAATATATGTTGTGCGTTAAAATTGCGCAACACTGATTCTGACGAGAGAGAAAAAAAACGTCAATCTTTTTCTTTGAAACAAAAGAATTTACGACCAAAGTGCATGAGAATATTTTTATGATACAAGATACTAAAAAAAGATCAATAAAAACTACTCCAAAATGACCATTTTGCATTCTTTCAAAATCTTTCAACCCAATTTTTTGGTACAGAAAACAAACTCTTGTGCTGAATTCCGACACAGAAAATGAAATTCGCAAATATGTATTATTTTTTCACTCACTTCCACTCTCTCTTTCCATTTTAGCAAAACAAGCCAGTGTTTGTGTAATCTCGAAAATATTTTACATTTTGTGTCGTAAAACTTCTGAAAATGTCCATTGAGGCAAATATCCACACATTTATCAAAGCTGTGTAAAATCATTTTATGCATACAGTTCAGCTCATACAGATTGTTATGCAAACTACCACACAAACATATCTGGGTCCAACACAATCATTCGACTGGTGGCGAATCACTTTGCAATCGAGAAATACACATCATTGAATCATGGCAGCAGGCAAACGCGGCATTACTATTGACAACAACAGTGGCGAAGAGCAGAGAGAGAGAGTGAAATCTTATCATGCACGGTCTGCAAGGAAGAAAATTTTACATGTATGAGGGACATTATATTAAAATACGCATAAAGATAGATGGTAGTTGCCGTAGTTGCTGGTTTATTGCTTATGCATTAAATAGACAGCATGTTTGAACACATATATATATATATATATATATATACGCACGGACACGCACCATACAAAGCCGTACGAGAGAGAGAGAGAGAGAGAGAGAGAGAGGAGAGCATACAAACAGTAAACGAACTACACAATAATAACGGTAGGCTTTCGCTGATGAATAATAACAATAATAATAATAATGGCAACATGTAGAAGGTTGGGTCCGAAATGCGACGAAGAGTAAACTTTTGCACCAAACCAAACTAAATCAAACAAAACGTTGAATGCTCGTGATATATATATTTGGATGTTATAGTGGTGTTGAACATTCAGTTGGAAAATGAGATGAGATGCTAATACTCGGTTGACTATTTTGTAAAAAAAACACACACACAACGTAATAACAACAACAAAAACAACAACAGCATCCCAGCGAACAACAGAGTCGAAGAAACAATAAGAATGACTGTAACCGAGCAACGATGAAAATAAACAAGAGAATGGGTCAGAAAAACT